TCCTTATGCTGCAATAGTTCATGTCAGTCATTTAAAGGCCTGGAGAAGCTGGAATGAAGATGATGACGACTCTAGTACGAATTCTCATAATGAACCTGAGATGCAAAGATCCAAACGAACTGTACGAAAACCACTGCGTTATGGAGATTTTATACCGGACAAATAGAACTTTTTTAAATGTTATATTTCACTTTATTTTATCTTTTACGAATGTATATTTGTTTTGTTTTTGTAATGATATTATTGAATGTAAACAAAATGTGGTTCAATTGAGGTCAATTGAAAAGTCAGGATGGTCGAATGTAAGCGTATTTAATATTATACCTGACAAAGCATGACTACAACATATTTTATTGTATAACAGTGCATGACATCAGATAAGTGGCAACGGTAAGATGTGTACTATACTTTGAATTTTATTTTTAGAAATAGTCTAGAGAGACGAGACGAGTACGGTATGTTTGAACGAAGTTACGTTGTACGCAGTTACGAAGTGTAATGGTTGTGCTTAATAAATGTTGTTTTGTTTTAAAAGAAGTCTTATGAATGTCAATCGAGAAACCAACACAATTTTATAAACAACAACTTATTTAATTTTTCGGCAATATGTTTTGCATCTAATAAAATTAATGACTTCGATTTTTGCATTCAATTGTTAAAAAAGTCTTAGACAGAATGGCTCTTTAATATCGCTAAATTCAATGAAAATTAATTTTTATTTCGCTCATGTATAATTCAGATTTAAATTACATTTATTACACTTTATTTAACTGACTATAACTTGAAAGTTTTACCTAATTATTACAAATTAAAATATGGTATGATTTCCATTGAAAATTATCTGCCGTAAGGGAAAAGATGAATTTTAAATCATGGATAAAAAGTAAATCTATCAAAATAATATAGTAAATTTATTTCAAGTAGCAAAGAATTAACAAAAAAATTAAGACTAAAAAACTGGAAAAGCAACGAAAATAACAGCATTTCATTACAACAAAAGAAGGTTCTATAATGTAATAATCAAAATAAATTTTTATTTCGCGCTTTTTAAATAAGATAAATATTAAATTAATGATTTGATAAATCAGTGAAATTGGTTTGATTTTCAGTCCAGCATTTTTGTAAATCATACATAAAAATATTTTTTTTAAAAATAGTCAAATTTAAGAAAAATTTACACCACAACTAGATTGTTATTATTTGAAAGATAATTTTTTTTGAAATATAAGACGGTGTAGAAATTCTTTTTAAATGATAATATTTCCGGCTATTATCACTGACTCCCCAAACTCTTTCTTAAGTTTTAATTAATTAAAGTTTTTAAAAAAAACTCACTCAGGTGTACTTTGCCACCCCTCATTGTAGGTTTGTACCAAATTTGTTAACTCTAGTCTCAACGGCCTGTCTTGTAGAACGCCAGCATCTATCAACACTTATGCATACATCGCTTTTATTAGTAGTAAAAATATGCATACAAAAGCATGATTACAAGGAAAATATAAAATTAACATTATAGTATTTTGTGTTAGAGTTTATTGCATAAAAAATCTAATGCAACTATTCTACACCAAATTCATGATTTCCTTGATTTTACTTGCCTTGATAATTGTAACTGATTTAACCATATCATTTTACTATACAATAATGTATACAAAGATGAAAGTTATTTGTCTTTTTAAAAAATCGACAATTTTTCTTGATATTGATGAAATTTGGCGCATATGCATTTGAAAACAAGAGTAGAATCACTATCAACTTTGCAAAGCTCAAAAGATAATTAAAATTACAGTTAATAAAAAAAGTAGGCAGGATTTTGCAGTTTTTTCGCAGTATTTTAAAAAAATATCATCTAAAAAATGACTTTTTACGCCATTTTAAAATTTCAAAAAATATATTTTTAATGATACCAATTTAATAAATATACAATTAATTTTTTTCTTTAATTTAAAAAGATGCATGATTTTAAAAATGTATAATTTGCAATATTGTTGCATATAATTTTGCAACAATACTTTTCAATTTTAAAGTGAAAAACTGATTTTCTTATTTAATCACATTATCACTAATTTCCTTATTTTTATCTAATCTCATATTTAATCACATGGTCCCAGCATGGTGTTCACGGAGGAGAAGCTGCCGGATAAGCAAGCAGGTTCTCCCTCCCTTGGTGGATACAGTAATGGTGGTGTGACACTTAGAGCCCAATCCGATGACTGGTCGTCGCATGAGCAGCTCGTAATGTGGGCTATTATGCGGGGGCCCCAGTGCCCGATGAAGTCGTGGCGGCCGGTCATTCAATGTAGGCCTGGGTCCCAAGGCAGGGCGAGGTGATGGCTTTTTGTGATATTTAATCACATGATATTTAACCATTATAGTGAACAAGATGGCAAGATTATGGTGAACAGATGGAACCAACATTATGGTGAACAAGATGTCATATCCACGGAGCTTTTTGTATTAATTCAGGTGTTAAGTATTTGTACGCGCTATGTTTATATATGTTAACTGTAACCTTTTATAACTGTTGGTTGAACGAGAGTTTTTGTTTAAGTTTAGTTCAGTGTTCTACTAATAAACGTGTTGCATGGAAGAATGACTGGTTATTTTGGTAGTATGAATCCAGAACTGTTTTAAGGCCACGGCTTTTTTAAAAGCTATTTTCATTTAGAGAAATTGCGGTCATTGATACGCTGCTAGCGTAATGAGTTATTTCTTTGCATAATGTATAACATAATATTTTTGGTACCCTCGGCGGGACTGTAATTGCGATAGTTATCGATATGGCTACTCTAGAAGGTCTTAAAAAATCGCGGAAAACTAACACAGCCGCTTTTACGAAACACGTATAATAAAGTTGAAGAACTGGTAGCCTTGGAAGATGTTGATATTTCCGAACTGGAAGCCGAACTGAATGTTTTGAAAGTGAAAGTTGACCGTTTGGAAGTAACGCATGCAAGTATCTTTGAACTTCTTTCTGAGAAAGAATTGGAAGTTGTTGAAGATTTTCATGATAAAGCTATAAGGATTGAAACTAAAGCTAGAAGGATTATCAATTATCAACAGCATATTGTAAGTACTATTGTGTGCATTCAACTTATAGTGACTCTGCTATAATTAATTCTGCTGAAAATGCTGCTATTGAAGAAAGAAGGTTTAAATTGCCTAAATTAGAATTATGAAAGTTCGATGGCGATGTTAAAGAGTGGCTTTATTTTTGGAGCCAATCTGAAAAAATCCATAATGATTCTAGTATTGAAGACTCAGATAAATTTCATTATTTGTTACAATCTATCGTTGAAGGATCTCGAGCTAGAGAAGTGATTGAATGCTTTACGCCAACTGGCGAGAATTATCCTAAAGCAATTGATTGTTTAAAAATTCGTTTTGGTCGTCATGGTTTACAAGTAGAAGTTTATGTTAGAGAGTTATTAAAATTCTGAAGAATGCTAATTCAAATTTTTGCTCGAAAAATTTGTGTGTAGTATATGACAATTTAGAACAACAGAATCGTGCACTTGAAACACTTGGTGTTGCAACGGATAAAAGTGCAGCTATACTTTATCCTTTGGTTGAATCTTGTATGCCCGAGGAGTTTCTTAGAGTTTGGCAGTGAAGTTTAAATTTTAATCTTGGCAGTGATTCAAAAAAGGAGACTTGATAGTTTATTAAAATTTTTTAAAGCTGAAGTTGAATCTGAAGAGCGAATTAACTTAGCTATGACTGGTTTCGGTTTGAAAGATGAAACATCTTATAAAAATGGAAGTAAACTAAATAAAGGTAAAATGTGTATTGCAGCTAGTTTGTTGAGCCCTTCTACTACTGTAGAGAAGTTGTGCGTCTTCTGCAATGGTAAACATGAGTCGACAAAATGCTTTAAAGCACAAAGAATGTCTTATAGTGAAAAAAATCAAAATTTTAAAAGATAAAGGTTATTGTTACATATGCTTAAAAGCTGGACATAGGGTAGCAAATTGCCGATATTTCGTAAAATGCATTATCTGCAAAAAGATACATTATGCAATAATGTATCTTTTTGCTCTGAGTCAAATAAACATATAACGAAGCCTACATCAAATAATTCGGAAAAGGAAATTACAGAGCAGAATAAATCAGTAACTTTGGAGAGTACTTCGAACACTCTACAAGTTTTGTTGCAGACTTTGAAAGTTAAGATAAAAGGTAACAACTGTAGTTTACCCGAAAGAGCAATGTATGATTCAGGATCTCAAAAGTCGTATATTAGAAAAGAAATAGCATCTCTTTTAGGTTTATTATCTTTACGGCAGCAACTTTTATCTCATGCACTCTTTGGAAGAGAAAGGATCAACGAGGAGCTACATAATGTATATAAAATTGAACTAGGAAGCTTAGATGGAAATTTCAATTGTAATTTTGATGTTGTTGATAAGGATATTATTTGCAATGATGTCCCATCTGTTTCGTACGGCCCATGGAATGACGAATTAAAATCTATGAATATACAAATATTTGATATAGAAACAATTTAGGGCCAATTGATGTTCTTATTGGAGCAGATGTTGCTGGTAGACATTTTACTGGAAAAAGAAGAGTTCTATCTAGTGGATTAGTAGCCTTGCAATCTTATCTAGGATGGACTATTATAGTCAAAACTAACTTACTCTCTGAAAAAGAAGTTACTGCTATGATGGTCATTTCGATGTCTGTAAGAGAAGCAACTATTTCCGATCGTTTTAGTCTAGAGGTTTTAGGGATAAAAGTGACCCTCTTGAGATGAAAGCCAAAAGGAAGAATGAATAACTGCCCAGCTAAAAAAATCTGCAGAAAATCTGAAGGTACTTGGATCATGTTCTCTTGAGATTTTCTGCAGAAAAAAATATGTTCCAAATACCTCCAGATTTTCCGACAGTCAAGGTTTAATTATTAATTTCAATTAATGTAATTATTAATTTAATTAATCTAATTTGTGATTCACCTTACTTGCACGATGCCGATTCAAATTGCAACAAAACTTCAAACTCATCCTGCGCGGGATTCGAACCCGCGTTCCTATAGTTGGAAGGCAGGAACGCTAACCGCAACGCCGCGCCGGAATACAGGAGATGAGGATAAATTAATCTATTTCAGTTTTAGCGTCACCATAGCTCTCGTGGCGCCATTTAGTGTTATAAAAATCAACCAAGGTCAGAATACGTGTTTCAAAGTCCTAGAGATGAGTAATAGATGAAATTAGTAATATTTTTGTTCAATAATTTAGATTCTTTGTTTCAATAAATTCGTTTTCGCCTTCTATCGTTCTGGTAAGCCTTCTCTCCATCAAAAGGGTGCAAGCTCCACTTTTTCCTTCTTTTTGGAGGAAAATAGGTGGTCAGAAAGAGAGTTGGGGAAACTAATTGGAAACTAATTAAATTATGGGGGGAAAGTTTAAGATGGTAAAACCTCAAATATTTATTTTAAAGATTAATTTAGAATTCATTTTTTCAGTGGCATATTTAAAAAAATTTAGTGCCTAATACAATTTTCGATTGGGAAATTTTTTGAAACTCTTGTCTTCTGTAGAATTAAACAATAATGAAAATTGCATTCTAATTTTGTTTTATATCCTTTGTAAAATAAAGCTGCAATATTAGAGAATATGGTGCAAAATATGTAGTTAGAGAAATGCAGATATTATGAAATTGCCGTTAAATCTTCAAAAAATTAAGAGATATTGGTCAAGTTTAATGATTTTTTGAAAATCTGCTAAATATCTGCAAATTGAATTGAAGACAAAATGCAAAGTCTTAAAAAATATACCGGATATTTAAAGAAAAGAATAAAAAGAAATTTTTTTGCAGATTTTATGCAGATTAAATTGAAGAAAAAAATGTTAAGTCTTGAAAAATCTACAGGACATTTAAAGAAAAAAATAAAAAGAATTTTTTGCAGATTTTATGCAGATTAAATTGAAGAAAAAATGCCGATTTTTTCCTGTCTTACAAAATCTGCAGAATATTTAGAGAAAAATATAATAAGAAAATTCTTTGCAGATTTTATCCAGATTAAATTGAAGAAAAAATGCCGATTTTTTTCTCTCTTCAAAAAATCTGTAGAATATTTAGAGAAAAATATAATAAGAAAATTTTCTGCAGATTTTCTGCAGATTAAATTGAAAAAAAATGCCGATTTTTTCTGTCTTCAAAAAATCTGCAGAAATCTTGAAGAAAACTTAGAAAAAAATTTCTGCATATTTTTTTTAGCTGTATGACTAAACTGTATTTTGAAGAAACTGTCAGAATTAATGAAGATGAAAGACATGAAGTTTCTCTCCCGTGGGAAGGAGATCATCTTCCTCTACCCAGTAATAGATTGCTATGACACGATTAGAAACGTCGACTAGAAAATTGCTTCACGAAAATTTGTTTACAGCTTATGATGACGTTTTTAAAGAATGGGCATCATTAGGTATAACTGAAAATGATCCAGTTGAATCATCATCTCGCCACCATGAGCACTATTTGCCTCACAGACCTGTTGTGAAACAACATGGAACAGCAAAGGTGCATCCAATCTTTGATGCCTCTGCCAGACAAGTTGGGTCACCATCACTGAACCAGTGTTTAGAATCTGGTCCTAATTTATTGGAACTGATCCCTAGTCTTCTTCTCAGATGCAGAGAGCATAAATATGGCATCGTTGCCGACGTAGAGAAAGCTTTCTTGCAAATAAGTGTGAGACCAGAAGATAGGAATTTTCTTATGTTTTTTTGGTGGAATGGAAAAGAAGATGTAGATCTGAAGATAATGCTGCATGCCCATGTGGTGTTTGGTGTAAAAATCAGTCCTTTTCTCTTAGAAGCTACGCTAGAACATCACTGCAAAAAATATCTAAAGACTTCTACATATAGTAAGAGAACAGTTGATATACTTCTTCGAAGTTTTTAGTTGGATGATTTAATTACAAGTTTGGACAACGAAGCAGAAATATTACACTTTATTGAAGAGTCTCATCATATCTTGCCTGAAGGAAAATTCAACTTGAGAAGATGGAAGTGTACAGGAGTTGATGACCCAGAACAGGTTACTTCAGTTCTAGGATGGATTTGGAATCGCAGAAACGCTGAACTGAAAATTAATATGGATTGGCTGGAAGCATACGAACTTGAAATTGTATTGAAGAGAGTTATTCTTTTCGTTACACATAGAATTTTTGATCCTGTCGGGTTTTTATGTACTCTCCTCTTAATGCCCAAGCTAATGTTACAAAAGATGTGGAAAGACAATATCCCGTGGGATAGAGAAGTTGAAGATAATATGAAACTTGAATTTCTAAAATGGTTTGAAGAGTTAGGCTCCTTGAAGAATTTGTCTGTTAGCCGCTGTTTTCATCCTACTTCAAGTGGTCAACATGGTATTAGCGTACATTCATTTTGTGATGCCAGTCAATTTGCATACGCAGTTTTCGTTCGCATTGAGTATGTTCATGTTGTTCAAGTAAATCTTTTGGCTGCCAAATAGAGAATTGTCCCAGTTAAAACCATCACCATTCCTCGTCTTGAGTTGCTGTCTGCAACGGTGGGAACACGATTGTGCAGATCTGCGCTCAGCGAACTCCAGTGGGACAATGTCAAGCAACATTACTGGACTGATTCCACCACTGTGTTAGGTTGGATTCAGAGTGAAGAACTTTGGTCTGTTTTTGTAAATAACAGAGTTCAAGAGATAAGAAAACTGACTGATCTAACCTTGTGGAAGTATTTTCCAGGAGCACAAAATCCTGCTGACTTACCTTCAAGAGGGTGTTCTGCTCACCAACTCTCATGCAGTAGATGGTGGGAGGGACCCAAATGGCTTCTACAAACTCAGGAAAACTGGCCAGTTACCAAACCTGTTTTTGACGAACACTCTGTTTTGAAAGAAAGACAAAAAAAAACCCAACTTCCAAGAGTCTTCCATTTGTGAGCTCTTTAAATCAAATTGAAAATTCTAACAACGAGGCTTCCAGTGAAACTTCTGGCAATGACACTGCATCTGTCACTTTAAAACTGGACTGGTAAATATTTATTTTACCTTCTGAACTTGAAAAGTTATACTTTCATTTTAAAATGTATAGCGTGTTATTCTTTGAAAATTTTAAATGTTTTTTGTAAGTTAAGTTGTCTTCCAACAATTTAAGGTGGGAGGATGTCATATCCACGGAGATTCTGTATTAATTCAGGTGTTACGTATTTGTGTACGCTATGTATATATATGTTAACTGTAACCTTTTATAATTGTTGGATGAACGAGAGTTTTTGTTTATGTTAAGTGTCAGTGTTCTACTAATGAACGTCTTGCATGGAAGAATGACTGGCGATTTTGGTATTATGAATCCCCAGAACTGTTTTAAGGTCACGGTTTTTTTAAAAGCTATTTTCATTTAGAGCAATTGCAGTCATTGACACGCTGCTAGCGTAATGAGTTATTTCTTTGCATAATACAAAATTTGTTCTTTTTAATACATTTAACTACTCTAGCCTAGCTCCAAAGTAGATTTTCACTTACCCGTAGTTTTTTCTTATACACTATTTTTCAACTCAAGCTCATTAAATAAAGTAATTTATATTTCATTTGTTAAGTTTTATACAGTGAAATATTTTCTTTTCCGCCGCTAATGATAATATTTTCGCTCTTCAATTATAGTGAGATAATTGACATATGTATTTTGTTTTTTCTTTTGCTATCGAATTACGGATTCTTATTTACATTTTAATTTCGCAATTCAGGTTTCTTTTTTTTGACATCTTGACTAAGAAAAGAATGAAAATGAACTTTTATTATTTTCACAAAACTTATTATTTGGAAAATTCTGGTAGTTATCTTTTCTTTATAAATGATATTTTTAACATTTTTCTTCAAACTGTTTTTTGAAATTTAGTTTCTACTTCAGGATTATTTCTTTTAGTTTTTCAAATCATCATATTATTCTTTCATTCGATATGTAATAAGACGTTTAGGAATTTTACAACTTTCCCATCTGTTATTTTTTTGCTGTTCTTTTTGGCCTTGCTCATCATAGAAAATATGTGCAATTTGTAATTTATTTGATGACACATTTATTTTATTCTGTACTGAATTTTTCATGAATATAGTTTATTAAAGTATTTTTTATGAATACGTAATTTTTATTAAACGTATTTAATAGATCATAAAATATGCTGAAAAGTTTGTGTATAAAAATAATTGCAGGAATGTAGTTTTTCCGGTAGGTGTTTTATAGAAGGGAGGAAAAATTAAGGAAAATGTGTCACGTAGGGGGGGAGGGCGATGCTTTGCCAGTTCCGCCGAGGGCGCAGGATCACCTCGGTACGACCCAGTTCAGAAGGCATGGCGACGTACAGTAATGAGGAAAAGGCGGACATGCATTTTATGTATGGTCTTGCGAATGGGAATGCTTTGGAAGCCGAAAGATCTGAAAATGTATAGCTGCTCGAGAAGACAATGCGCCAGACTGCGAAAAAGTGTATTAGAGATTCCATCGGTACCTGTGTGAAACGGATCCTTTGTCACGAGACGATAATGTAAGGGCATGGCAGGAGTGTGTAGCGCCACAAGTTCGTAGAGAACATTCTGCAAAGATTGGTAGATCGTCCGGATATTAGCAGGCGAGAGGCTCGCGCCGTAAGTGTATCCCCTGATTGTTTGAGGAGTACTAAGGGACGAAGGATTACATCCCTACCATATACATAAAGCTAAGCCTTGATACCTTGCAGATTATGCACCAGTGTCGAGTTTGCACGTTGGTTTTGCAACAGCTAGCAGCGCAGCGATTTTAGTGTCATGCGTTATTCACGGATGAATGCACTCTTACTCGTGAAGATTTCTACTACACAACCTTCATGTCTAGCAATACGCGCAATAATCGTCCACATGCTAAATGGTGAGTTCATAAATGTTTGGTTGGAATTGTGGTGACCATTTAATCGCCATACCGCTATTCCGACTGATCGGATGAAGATACCATTTTTGCAACAGGTAGCCAGAGTTACTTCCCTGTTGCAGAATATAAAGCAGCATATGGTTCCAGCATCGACGGAGACCACCCCATTTCACTTGATGTGCGGAGCGCCGGACGC